ACTGACTGAACAATGACCTTCCGGTGCTCTCCGCGGACACGGCTCTGCACTTCGCTCTGTTCGCAAGGTCAACATTACCCCTGCCCCCTCCCGATCATCGTCGAGCCCCCCTCCTGCGTCGAGCCCCTCCCATTCCCATTCGACGCCGATCTCTCTGAGCCAAGAGCACCCTCACTGTTAAAGTGGGACCGGGTCACCACTCTCGGCAGCTTTGTAAGTACATTCAAGCATCATTATCTACGACTGGGCCGCCATGGGCCACGCTGGCCCTCGTTAGTTCCCGGTGGTCCTCGCTGGTCCCCACTGGTCCCTGTTGGTCCTCTGCTCAGCACAATACGGGACCTGTGGGTGGCCCCAGCCACACAGCCAAAATAGGGCCCGTACAGCGGCGCCACGCGAGCAGCTGGAGTGTTTGTGCCGGCGGCCTGCTGCCGCCTTTGTGTGTGCGAACTGGGCTCAGTAAAGACACACACAATGCTGCCGGACGGTCGACAGGATGGCACTTTAATTGGCTGATTTAGAGATCCTAATAGAGGCTAATTTGACGCTTCCATTTTGTGTTCGACATGCTCGTACAGAAAATGACAATTCATTGACAGCACTAAAATTTACATGTAGGTTGTAGATCTACCGCGTCGATCTTTTCAATTCGATACCCAACGCTGATTGATTCTGACGTTTTAGAAATTCAAATTTGAAATTTGAAAATTAATCTCACAGGCGGCATCGATTCCTGCTGCACCTAACCGTCCTCTCATTTTGCTGGTTCCGCTCATTTTGCTGGCTCAAAGTCACTACATACCGGGTGTCCCACATTTATGTATCACTACTCGTACATACATTTATGTGTTTACTCCTCACATTTATGAAATCTAAATCATCATTTTTAAACGCTTAGTTATGCAGTGGCTTTATCATTGTTAAAATAACCGCAGGTTGTTTGAAAAGACAAACACTATTCGTTAGAATTGTGTTTTTCTATTGAAAAACAACCGGAGCGGTCCTTCTCCGGGCTATAAAAGTTCAAAAACCAAATGGCAAGATGATAGCTCAGCCCAAGGCCTTCCTCAGAATCAAAGCTAAAAGCTTCACATAAATAATGTCCTTTACGCTTTACCTTTACGATGTTCCTCGCACAGGCGCTCAACAATCCGAAGAGTATTGAACCAAGAATTGTGATCATTACACGCTGAACCCGCTCAATAGAGTTGGGAGCGGCTTGTTTCCAACATCCTTTCGCAACTGCTTGCTATCCGATGAATTCAGGGTGATTACGAAAAATCGGCGTCATTATGCTCCCATTATCCAATGAAATGCAATCATTTATCGATTTGTCGCCATCACCCAAATGCAGATGGGTGATCTGGTGGTATTTTGACCTATGGCCTGCCTCTGATGCTCCCAATCATTGCCTCTACGTGTCATGGTGGAAAATAGGTTTGGGGTCACTGCTCGTCCTGACAACCCCGGTGGCAGAACGTCGACCTCTCCCATTCTTCAAAAGCTCCCGACTCCCTTATGTCATGCCCTTTTTAGCTAAATTGACTCTGAAGTCTTAGTATTTAGCGCTAATCGTTTCAGATCCGACTCCCAACATCTGCTTGTGATTCAAATAGCTTTTTTCTTCTGTCGGCTCATGTTGCATGGCCACCACCTCTCACCGTGTCTCAGCCCAATTTAGCGGAATCATTACTGTCCCTTCTTCGACTTATCCACCATCTCGGTAGCATCAATAGTTTTAATGTTTTTTGACGGTGCGCTGTCAGTGACCTGTGTGACCCTCTCTGACCGTACCGTGATTCGTGACCGAACCGGACCATGAGTGGGGGCGGAGCTGCGGCGCTGTGGTGACTGTTATAACGCCATCAGCGGCGCTCCCAGTCACGGCAGCCATGTGACGATATCACATGTCATTCTGCTGCCGTGGGAACCGCCATGCTAATGACCGTGACGGCTTAGTGAGTGCCTCTTTATCGAGATACTCTTTATCACTAACTGGACTGAAAACTCAGAGCTCGCGGCTTTGCGTGTCTGATGTTGCATAGCGCGGTGGGAAGAGGCGTGCGTGTCGCAACTCCGCTCCCTCGTCTTCTGTCAGTGGTGGTACGTAGTGCTGGCAATCACTGCCAACACCCCTCCCCCTCCCTCCCCCTGCCGTAGGGGGTACACAGAGTGCCGAAGGCCGTTTTCGTTAGCTGCTTGCACGCTGCGCACATACGACTGTGGCAGCAGCGGCAGGACAGTGATTGGTCGGGCTTGGGGGGAGAGGGCGGGGGGTCTCGTAGGCAGGCTAGTTGTATCTGTGATTTAGGGGCTGTCCTGAATTGCCAGACATAAGGGGTTTGCAGTCACGGCCGGCTAGTTTATTAAATCAACGAATGAATGAGTTAATTAGGAAATAGCCAATCAATCAATAAAGCATTTAATAAATTAATTAATCTATCAATCAACAAAAATAGCACAGATTACTGTTGTGCCCTGTACAGATATGCATATAAAGAGATATACAGCACTCTATGCAGATATGGAGCAGTCTAGGAAATAACAATTCACAAAATAATGAATACCTAATTACATATGTGACGACATGACATGCGTGCCATTAACGCTAATATTGCATGTCATAGACCTCTGTATACCGAGCATGCCTATATGCGGAGTTCTATGCTCGCGCATTTATCAATCACCTGACCACGCGCATCCCAGCGCGGCTCTGCCCAAAGCGTCTCTCCGTGTCAGTGTAGGTATAACTTCCCTAGCTAACCTGTTGTGCCCGTGGCTAATGTCGCAGTGCAGAGTGACGTGGGACCAGCGAACGCAGCAGCACCCTGGTGCTAACAATGCCCGGTCATAACACTGTTTTAGCACCACCGTAACGTGTGCACGGCATCAATAAATCACTTTTTACGCTGCCTCTCTCCCTGTTTTGCGAGCCTCTGTCCTCATTTCTCTGTCTCTCCAACACCGGACCACAGATGTTTGCAAACACTTTGGCTGAGAAATGTAACACAATGCGGGTTCTGTTTGAATTCTTGCACCCTCCGACACTCATTAGTTCCTTCCTCCATCTGGCCTGTGCTTTACGTGAGTCTGTTGCACCGTCACTCTTCCTTCAAAGGTCTCGTGGTGACGCGCTGACGTGACGACGTTACTAATGAGTAATGACGTCACTAAAAGGATTTAATGACGTAGTAGGCGCGGCGGATCACCCGGTTCGTGCTGGGTCTGTGAGCTGTCCCCGTAATTCAGGAGGATGGTTCCAGTAGTCGGGGTCGACACGCAAGGTCGTAACTGAAGCCGATGGAGACGCAACTGGAGCACGCCACGGCGTGGGCGGGGAGGGGGGGGGGGGTGGAGGGGGTGTTGCCCGAGGTCAGGACTGGATCAGTGTGTAATACAGACAGCTGACTCGGGAGGTGAAACGTCACTGAAAAATGACACGGCTACCAAACGCGGGTGAGGCTAGTAGAAGTAACCACTGAAATAAAAGCTATGACTTAGTGATATTGTCATGGTAGTTGCTTGGGCAAACTTGAAGTAAAATGTATCCGTTCACTCCCACCCCCTTTGGCTGTCGCCTCTCGGGATGTTTTGGCACCTCGGTGCGCCTGGCGGATGACTTCTGAAACGTGACTGTCGACTAGTTAGTTCGATGCGATACAGTGGCTATTTTAGTTGAAGCAGCTTTGTTTTCTGGCTCCGGTATTTATTGAGTGTAAAAATGGATACACTTAAGTCAGCTATGGGCTCAAAACATGACAGCCGTCAGCCGTCGGCCTCGTCCGCTGTCGGTCAATTTACCTTGCGTCCATTCTTTGTACCAGTGATTCGTGTTCTAACCGCCAGAGCGCGGGAGCTGGTCCCGTGTGCAGCATCTGCTCGTTCTTCTTAGACCGACAGCCTCCCAAGTCCGCTAGTCCCAACAATGGATATGAGATTCTTGTGTGCTGGTAATTTACTTAGTTGTGTTGTTTGGAATCCTGTTTGTCCATTTGTATAGGCAGGTGGTGCTCCTAAGAGTTCAAAGGTGAGGTGAGCGAGGTCTTCTGAGTTTTGCAATCGGGCCTTGGGTTGCTAAGATGGATCAGACAACAAACGGTTCTTTGAACGCTTCGTCATACGAGGATCCATGTCTACATTCCAACCCAGCTGGTGCAGTATTTTTGTTAGTCCCACGGCCTTGACCGAGGTGCTGGTCGATATCCAAGGACAGTCGATGCTCCCTCGGGGTCGATAGGGTCACCTGGGACGAGTGCCGTCTTAGCCGTGGACCAGGCGGTCAGCTGAGTGTCCATTCCGGGTCAGATGACTGTCCATTTTGAGCCAGCTGACCGTTCATTCCGTGTCAGCTGACTGTCCATTTCGAACCAGATGAGTGTCCTGCGTGTGTCATCTGTCTTCTGTCCAGTGTCCATTCTTACCCGCAGCGGCGGTCAATTAAATGTCCACGTTCCAGTTCAGTTCGAGCGCCGCGGAGGGGAGAGGAGCCTGGATTGGTGGGGCGGGTATAAAGATCGGATCTCCATTGGCGTGTGAACGTAGCTGTGCGGACTGCGGATCCGATAAGTGCTGGATTTGGAGGCTGGGATAGTATGGTTGAACAGCTTTGAGCTCCGTTTGCTGAGCTCCACTTGCTGAGCTCGCCACTCCTAGCAATCAACGATCGTCTGCCTGGAGATGGAAAATGAGTTCCAGATTATGAAACGTTATTCGGCCAAGATATATGAACATGTAATGAAACTGCACGTTTCCCGGTCCCAGCTCACCCGACCAGCTGGTCCACCCTGTGACCCGCGCGACCCCCGACTCTCGCTCCGAATCCCCGGGATCAGCAGTGTGACCCGTTGACCGTCTGGTTTCAGAGGTCGGCCCGGCCCGGGGGTGCCCCCCCCCCCTCTCCGGTCCCGGCTGCGGGCAGGGTCGATATCTGCCCTCCCCCGTGCCCCGGCGGCTGTGGGCCGGCCCGGCTGACAGTGTGTCGCGCCTGCTCTGCCCTACAGGTGCTCCGGCCGACGGCACTGCACCTTTCGGCTGCGGGAGGACCATCCGAACGTGTGGCGGCCCGGAGTGGTGTTCGTACGATATCGGTGCATAGAACGTGAGTACCTGGGGCCTTGGTTAGGGTCTGCAGGGAAGAAGCAGGCACCAAGATCTCATGCCTCACGGGGTGGGATTGCTGACGTCGACTGGTGGCTCAGACCATGGTTCTTGCAGCTTGGCAATGTGCACCGTGACTTTTGTTCTGACAGGACGTTCGTCTGTAAATTTTGGACCATTGCCTCTGTGATCATTTGCTTGGCCAAATAATTAGACTGGTGGCTAAAAATCGTAGACGACTGGTCTTATGAGTTTTGATTTCCTCAGATGAGGATTGTAGTGTGTAGTCAGACCTTCTCGTAGTGTATCCTGTGCAGCTCTTTCCACGATGCTGGACCTCGTGAAGGGTACTATGTTGCATTTGGTTTTCTTTAGACGGTACGGACAATTTTATGTTGCTGTTTTCGCAGGGCTATTGGTTTGGTCTGGGTTGCTGGTTTATTTGGTTTGGTTATTGAGGCCCCGAATGTGATCAGCCTTCCCCCAGCTGTGTGGTTTAAATTATTGAAGGATCACAGATCGAAGGCTGTATCGGAAGGGTTGGGTCCGCCTCTGTGTTCTATTATTTACCTTCATCACTTCTTTCCCCACGTCACCGCCTCGAGTCCGGCTCTGGGGAGGCGTGGTCGAAGCCCCGTCGATATCTGAGCTCGGCCCGTATGTGTGTGACGTCATTACTTCACAGTATGACGTCATTTGATGATATCGATCTTGATTTGTAGCTGATTGGATTACGTCGCTCGTGAGCTATTTTTTTAAGAATGATGAATACTATAAGTATGCTTGTGACCCCTCTTTCATTTACAGTCTACAATTCTATTTTTATAATTCATTGTTTAAAATGTTTACAACCATCCGCTTTTTATTGGTTATATTACTGATTGTTTTCAACGTATAGACACTGGGTTATGCCTACGTATTGTATAGTAAGCCGCTGAGGACATGGATGTTGTACTTTTTTAACCCAGGTGTGCGGTTTTTATACTCGTGTTCCACTTTTTTATTAATCGCCCGAAGTTCCCGACACGCACGTCCACAAACTTCCACCAGTTGCTCTCCTCTCTCCCCTCCCTCCCCTCCTCCGCCCGCCTGCTGTGCGCCCAACTGGCTCACACGGGCTCCCCCAGTATCGATTATTCCTCCCTTCTAACGTCGGCAGTCTGGCCGTTTGGTGCACAGACAGACGAACGAACATCGGTCGGTGTTGGTGATGGCAGCGGTGGTAGATGTCACGTGTAAAGTGTCGGTGCTCCTCCCCTCCCCGCCTCTCCCCCTCTGTCGGCTCCTCCCCACCTCTGTCACACCTGACTCGGGTTCACTCGGTACGAATGTGTGTGGCGTGTGCTGGTAAGCTGTAGAGGTGGCGCGGCGGTGCCGTGTGAGGCTCTAAGGATTGGCTGATGTTCATGTGGATTGCGGTTTTCTGTAAAGGGTGCTGTGGAATGAGGATAGAATGCACGTTTGTGGACTGTGAAGTGCTGCTGCTCCTGATGAAATGCTCTAACCACAATAGCAGTTCTTTATGGGTGACCCACAGTGTCAGCGGTGCGTTGGTTTCAACACATTGGTGACCTGTGGATTCAACAATGACCCCCCTGCAACCCAGCTTAACCCCTGAACCGCCCTCTCTGACCTCAAGCCGCCCTCTCTGACCCCATGACCCCTTCCCCGGCAGGTGAAGCGGTCACCCGGTACTGTTCCGAGGTAGTGACGGCGCCACACGGCTACCTTACCAACCCCGGCTACCCTCATTATTACCCTGGCCAGGTCAACTGCTCGTGGCACGTGCGCGCCCACCCCGGCCAGCACCTGCGAGTAACCGTCCATGATCTGGATGTGAGAGGTGAGAATACGGATACAAAGTGGGGTCAGAAGCCGGGGAAGGTGTGAGTTGTGTTAGAGACTTCAGATGTGTTTCAGCAAATCATGTCTTGGTGATGATAGATCAGCTTAAAGTAATTTTTGGCTAATGAAACTGAAGTTTGACTTAATTGGTGAATGATAAATACTTTTTGTCGAAATTCGGAAACCACGGCGACAGTAGCCTCCCGCCGCCAACAGTCGCCGGCCTGGTAACAGACTGTGCCGCACTACACGGCTGCTCGGCGGGCCGGCCGCCTCTGGACCAACACATCTATGAATGGTCGCCGCTCTGTGCTCAGGCCAAATCACCACAATGCGCTCTTTATTCCTGCAACAATGGCGGCCGCGACCCGGCACAATAGCTATGTCGCACACTGTCGCCCCACGCAGCTCTTATGGCAGCTCACCTCTGACGTCACAGCGTACGTCACACACCACCCACTGAGGGCTGCTGCCCCCCCCCCCAGCCCCCCCCCCCTGCTGCGCGCACTGGACCATTTATTTACACCCGGCCTTGTCACTATGACCCGCCGAACCATTTGTTTGTGGTCTGTGCCGCGCGTTGTATGCGGTGTATTGTTCCGCAATGTGTCGGCACTGCTATTGTGCGAGGATGCGTGCGGCTGCGATGATTATTCAACGGGGCTGTGATGTCGGATATTGTTGGGCAGTTTCCAGTGACGTCTGGCTTGAGTCACTTGTTGTGAACGTTTCACTACCTCCCGCATACAACTGCGGATGTGATCGCCCACAGCTGATTCCAGAAATACGAGGTCACACGCCAGTTATTCGTAGAAACACATCCAACTTCATTTCTTGCAACTGCTTCTGTTTATTTCTTCGCGTTCTCCCACTGTTTCCAGTCGTCTTGTTTCTCACCACCTATCCCCGAATTGGCCATCTCCCTCCCTCTCTTTTCTTCTGTCTTACGTATATCTCGTTTGTGTTCCAGGTATTCGGCAGGGCGGTGACGTGTGCACCGATTTCCTCCGGGTCTCCGAGGGCCGCCGGGTGCTGTCACTCGAGTGTGGAGCCCTCCAGGAGTCACGTGTGGTGACCTCCCGCGGCCCAGAGGTCACCGTCACTCTCTGGGGTCAGGGTCAGGCGCTGTTCCCCCACCGCGGGGCGCTAGTTGAGTTCACAGGTGAGGGCTGGATGGCGAATCTAGATCAGAAGTCGAGTGTTGACTTCTATTGAACTTTTCAGACGCTACCAATGATCAAATGCTAGCAATCAAATCTAAAGCTCACTTTGTAGCTATCTAACCATGATTTTATTTTGGTCTTGAATTTGTCTCTTTGTATCAGTTACTTATCATTGACCATAAATTCTCAACATCGATTTGCAACATGACGTGTGGTGTCATGCTCCTAAGGTGTTAAGTGTTTGACCTCTGCCAACCTATGCTGAACCCCTGCTGACCTTTGTTAACCTTTGCTGACCTCTGTTTGATCTCTGTCCCCAGCGGTGGGTTGCCCCACGCCGCCGCCACCTCGGGACGGCTACCTGGTGTTCCGGAACGAGACGCACGCCTTTTTCTCCTGCTGCGTCAACTTTGTGTTCGGCGACACGCTGGTCAAGGAGCGTCTGCTGCGCTGTGTCGACGGCCGAGGCTGGAGCGTGTCGCTGCCCAGACAGTGTATAGGTGAGGGGATTGGGTGTAGAGGAGTCAGGGAGGCTCCGAGGGCTACTAAGGGGTCAACGATAGCTATACGGTGTTCCAAAGGTCAGAAGGGACATCAAATGCCACTAGAGTGATCGATGGGTCACTAAGGGCCAGCAAAGATCACCGATATGCACCTGGGGTCAGTTGTAACCAGGGAGGGACGCTCAATTCGTTCAAACATTTGACTTGAATTTATATAAGAGGTCACCAAGACATATTGAGTTGTCACCTATCGCATGGTACGACTCAGCGTGGAGGAACATGTGGTGTGACCGTGCGCACCCACAGTTACCCTCGAGAGCAATGTGGTCAGTGGTTGATATCCGCGCCACTAGATGGCATTAGTAGTGCGCGCCTGAACGTAGGCTGTGCCGCCGAGCCTGCCCGAGCGCTGCATTCGCTGGGCGAAAAATGACCGACCAAAAAAGATCGTTTCCGGCGTCGAGAAATAATGCTACTGTACTGTGCTGTACAGTACTACTGTACTGTACAGCTGTTTTCGGTGTTCTCAGGATATCATCCGGCACCTGTGCTTATAAAGGTTTGGCTTCGGACCGCTTCTCGCCTTTTCAGTCCCGTTCGAAAGGGATGTTCCAAGCGATATGGGAGGCGGTCGAACCAGCCTCAGTGTCCGCTGTCCGCGTCTGTCAGCTTTCTGCTCACTGTCAATCTACCGGACAGAGCAGTGTTATTGCATGGGCACTGATTGCCTCTCGATTATTCAGGCTCCAGTCCCCGCAAGACTGATCGAAGTACCGCGGAAGGGGAAAACGGAACCAAACGTGTCATGTATTATACAGGGGTAATAACTGTGGTGTTCCGCTCCCCCTCCCCACGGGCGTGCAGTGCGCGTTGAGGGGGTGATATGGTAATGTACCGGCGAAAAATGCCGGCGACTGATGGCTGGGCCGGCGCCAGGCAGCTGTGGCGACCGTGTTTGCCACACTGGGCTAGGTAGGGTGAATAGTACGTGGCATATGAACTGTGTAGTAAACGTGGGCTATTAATCCACCCTATTGCAGAGATCGAGAATTAGTAGAGAGCTGTTGGCACAGTAAATGGGGGTTGTTGTATGTTTACCGATATTTGCTATGGAGTAAATCCACGCAGTGGGGTATATTATTGTGCTTCTTTCTTTGTGTGCGATACGTTATTCGGAGCCGAACACGCTCGATGCGTATGCAGATGATATTACTGCTTATTTTCTACCCTCCCCTCCTTTGCTCATTGTGCATTCAGCCACGTGCGGCGTGTCGCGCCCATAAACTTGCACTCCTTGTCCATATAACTCGCATTTCGCTGTTTAGTAGCTCCCTCCGCCATCTGCACATTACATCTGTTACAAACACATTTCCTAGTGTTGGCGATTAAACGCACCACTAAAAAATGCCAGCGTATACCGTGTGCAAAGAGGGTGTCCACTCCACGGCTTCAAATTTTGTCGCGGTATGATGCAACCGAACTATCAAAACACCACTGTCGCCCGACTGACATATGTAAATTATACCACCGCCTGCACCCTAATACTCCCCTCCCACTGACCCCCCTTCCCCACTCCTCCCCCCTCAGACGTGCGGCTACTGATGGAGTATGCCAACTCCACTGTGCGGCGCGAGCTGGAGCGGGAGCTGGTCACAGCACCACCGGCCGACACTCGGCCGGTTCATGTACGCACCGATAACCTGTTTGTAGGTGAGTCCGCAGGGAGAGAGTGGTATTTGTGGAGAGCGGTGTTTTTGGGCCAGTGCTGGGAGGGAGAGAGGTGTGATAATAGGGTTTATGGGTGGGTAAAAGGCTGTGTTTTAGTGCTAGTGGATGGACCGAGGTAGCGTTCACGTACCGTGTTTGGATGGGTGGTGGGACGGTGATGCTGTGTTTGTTAGTGTGCGTTTGTGGTTGGGTGATGAGCGAACTTTTGAATTGATAAGTGCTAGTCTACTAGGACGTTCAATAAATACGAGATAAATAATATCTTAAAAAATGATAGGTGTTATATCAGACAGCTGCAAGGAGTTCCACTGCGGTGTTGTGTTTTCACTTCATTTTGTAATAACCTCCGTCATTTCTTTTTTCAGATACTATTCTTCCAATATTAATCCTGGTCGGTTTGATGCTGGGAAACTGTGTCATTGTTGCGGTTATCCTCAAATATAGGAGGAGGTAAGTCATCAAAGTTGCTAAATCTCTTACCATCCACACACATTCATAATAAGCCAACGTCCTAATCGTTATTCAGAATACCTACTAGTTACGGAGCGAGCGAAGCGAGCGTAGTCTTTCCTTAGATTAACGGAAATTTCTGAGTATGAGCGGCCGGCCGGCCGGCCGGCCGGCCGGCCGTGGTCACGCTTTTGCGAGGCTTATATCTCAGCAACCACTTGACCGATTTACACGCGGTAATTTTTGTATGGTAGCTTCATTCCTTCTACCAAGTATTGGACTATTCCTGATGCATGTGGGTGACCCCTTATGCACGTGCCACGTGCAAAACGAAGAGGTGTCCGTTTTGTAATTGTTGCAATATCTCGGTAACTACTTGGCCGATTGCGCTGAAAGTTGGCATGTAGGTAGGCACCCACTAGGCACTGCATATCCATGTGCCAGAGTTGGAGTGCTGCTGCACGTGCGCACGTGCAGGGGTCGTTTCCAGATCTCGAGAACAGCTGGACCGATGGCGCTCAAATTTGGTACACGGTTAGGGACCAGTTAGTAGGGTGCCGTGCACAAGTCAGTTGGGACCCATTTTGCACGTGCGCACGTGCAGGGTGCCGTTCCCAGATCTCGAGAACGGCTGGGCCGATTGTGCTCAAATTTGGCACATCGCTAGAAACCGGTCAGTAGGGTGCCGTGCACAAGTCAGTTGGAGGTACCCCCTCGAAATTTCGCACGTGCAAGACTCACCCCCTCGCTCGCTCCGTTAGTCGCCCCAAAAGGCGCTATACTGGTATTTTATTCGGATTGGTGAAATACCGATTGATTTCGCATATTTAGTCGCATAACGTTTCCCGGTCGCCTCTTGTGAAATTCGATGACCTCAACGACCTCACTAGACATCTGATGACCTCAATGACCCTTGATGACCTGTTCTGCCGACAGGGACAGGGACAGGGCTCGGGAGGGGACCGGTGGCGGCGGCCGAGAGCTGGTGGACCTCAGTGACCCCGACCCGCGCACCGTGTAGCCTGCGGGGGTCACTGGAGGTCACCATGTCACCAGCCTGGCCTTTGGAGGTCACAAGATTGCCTGCAGGATCACCGAGGGACTACCAGGTCGCCGACTGGGCCGCCGAAGGTCATAAGGTCGCTGACCAAGTCACTGGAGGACAGCAGAGGTCACAAGACTGTCGCCAGCCACCGAGACTGCAGCGACACCAAGTCACACCTGGCCGAATGTTCCTAGACTGTTCGCCATTGATCATCTCCGCGGCGACCACTGAACTACAAAGGCTGTCTGCGGTGACCGGTGATCACCAATGATCACTGATCGCCAGCGATCACCTCGGTGGCGGGCTGCCGTTCCTCTCATTTACCGCTCCGACAGACTGGAGCCGTGTAGGTGGCGCTCGCGTCGACTCTGCCTCTTCGAAGGATCGGAAAGATTCCTATCACGGAGACCAGCCAGGTGGCCCCCGGCGCCACACGGGGCCGCTCCACTGCCATACCTAGCACCCCAGAGAACTCGCCAGTGAGAGCGTGAGCACGGGGAGGGAAACCAACGCGAATCGTTAGATGGGCCGCGATGCTTTAACAGTATTTTGCGTTACGTTAGTTTGATTCATGATTTTATCACATCACAGTTCAACGTTGACATTGTTTATTGAGTATACTTTATACACAATTATCAGTTTGAATGTATTTAAATGCGACGCGAATGTTGCTTTTGAAGTGAGTGAGGATTATGTTGCGAACACATGCCGATGTTAAATTATGTAGACTTCGTCGTGCTAGCTTTCTCAGTCATTTTCTTCTGGCGCCTGCGCGGCCGTTTTAGTTGTGTACTTTGCGTGTAGATGATGTCAGACAGATGCTGTGATTAGCCGAGGCCGCGATGATGTGTAGACAAGGGGATGTCAAGGTCCACAGCGGATGGAGGGAGAGTATTTTCCTGATCGCAGGTTGCCTTAGGACACGGCCGCCCCACTGCCAGCGCGCGGGCTGTGGAGGGCGAGACTCGGCCGGCGCCCCGGGCAGCACAATCTGACTGTAGTTGACGCGCCTCCCTTTCAGTGAAACTGCCAAATATCTGACTTCCAGACTGACAACCTTCCTCCGTATATCTCTGCATCAGGACGCCTGTTGTCGATCAAATATCAGTGCTACTCGTTTATTGATATCAGCTGCTGTTGGTCTACTCCTCTCCAGAATATCGACTGTATACTCGTCTTATCTCGCCCATTACATAGCCCGCTTTCCGGACTCAACATTACCGCGACTTTCAGTGTTAACCCAATGCGTCTCCCGATTGTCCGAAGTGCTTCACCAGTCGCGGATAGTACAAACACGGCACATCGCGGCGAACTCCGTCTATTGTGGATAGCAGCGACAAAGGACGCCGCCGAACGCAGCTCGCCTGCTGCACAGTGGCAGTTATAGCGAAAGTGAGTGAGTGCACTGTGCAGAGCCCTTCGTCGGCTCTGGTGTGTCCGTTTCGGCGCCCGACTCCTACACGCTGCTGTGAGCTGTCGCGGCGCCCGGCTCCTACCGCCGCAGAGGCGCTGTGTCAGCAGTGTCAGTGTGTGAGCGGTGTCGTGTCACAGTGTCACTCGGATGTGTCAGTGTCAGTGGGATTGTGTCTCGCCGTCGGCCGGATATTTTTGTATGCGAGCGGCCAGCGCCGGCGGCGGAGACGAGTGTGGAGGTAATACATGCACCTGTATGGAGAGTCGAGGTCCCTGTTGAGACAGCACTTCTCTCATAGTGGAAGCTACCCAGAGCAGCATGCGGCTGGTTAGTTAGACAAATTCAATTGCTTTAATTACCTCGATATGAGAAATGACAGTGATAAATGAAAGTGAAAAGATAAGTGAAAGGTGAATGGCAGGTGACTTTGTAGTCAGTCGGTACACAGGATGCTAACGTTTAGGATTGATTAGAAAGTTACGTTCCTCTTAAACACCTCGCTCTTTCTCTCACCACCACGTCCTCAGCAACACAGCCGTTAAAGCGATAGAAAAGGTTCTATTGGAATACAATGACTGTGTCGTGTCGATAAAATCTCACAAAGCCTGCTCAGGAGGACCGATTGCGATCTACGCGCTACAGCACCGATAAAAGTATGGCCTGCTAGCTGCCTCGAGAGCTCCAATCATCTTGATACAGAGCTGGGCAGACTAGAGAAAGGAGCGCTAGCTCGACATTGGAGGGGGAAGAGCATCCAGAGGGGGCTAGCGCAGAGGGGGGAACTGCCACGACCGCGAGAGTGCGAGATCATCATTAACAGGTGCGGCGGCAGGAAAACAGCGCGAACGGTACGAGCCGTGGAAATAAACGACACCGAATTGTGTGCGGGACGAAGTTCCGACGCGCGTGCGAGCCGACACCGCGGAGACGGCAGCCGATAAATCTTACGCTAAACCTTAGGCCAAACTCGCGGACAGGACCCCCGCCTTGATTACAATATTCCTAGCGCCGTCCGCACGGAATCATCTCACGTCGGCAGAACCTCGCGTCCATCTAAGATTACATCTGTGATTTGCACCACTGAAAGCGCCTCCGGCTGCGGGCCACCACCTCGCGTGTTGCGTCGGGACAGACGCCGCTCGAGACGCTCGATCGGTCCGGCGCCGGCTGGATACTCTGCGCGGAGAAGCTCGGGCTGCGGCCGGCGCGCGGGGGGACCGAGTAGCGGGGGGGGGGGGGCGGTGAGCGGCGGACGCTCAGCCGGCATCCGGCGGGCGTGCAGGGACGCCGGGCGGAGCCGTGCAGCTTACATCTAACGTCAGGCGCGCGGCGGGGCGGCAGCAGCGGCGGCGGGCGGCAATCTTACAGCGGGGTCGGGCCGGCGCGGCGCGCGCTCAGACCCCGGCTCTCTGGCCTCGCCGGAGCTCAGCCGGTGTTGGAGTGAGAGACAGCCACAGCGAGCCGTCTGAGTCGGAGCGGGGCGTGCGCCGTGCTGACCCGACCTGACCTCAGAGGGGGCGGCGCACGGACAGGGCGGCGCGACCACTACACGCTAGCACTGTACACTGATCGGGCAGCAGCGGCCGGCGGCGACGGACGGCGTGGCGTCTAAAGGTCCGTGTCGTACCAGGCGGCCATCTGAGGGAGGCACAGATTGAGTCAGAACGGAAAAGGTCATAGCTCACAGAGACTGAGGGGACTGCAGCACAGGGAGACATAAGCCCAGCGATCAGATACCACGATCAAGCCAACATCTACCAACTGCAACATAACAAAAACTCACATATGATTCGAGTAGGTACACTTAAAAACTCATCCTTACAGTAGGTACCTATGAATCCTAACTTATAGTCATCACAAAATAATAAAGATGAGGTGATATGGCGCAAATACGTACGCCTTTGGTCTGCATCACTGTGTGACGCCGAAAGCAGCTAGAAGACACGCTCGTTTACCCACTAGCACTTGCACATTCTAACATGGACAAAACATCGTTTCAGTTTTCCTTAAAGCGACCGATGGCTGCTTCCCGACAGCGAAAGGCAGCGCGTTAAAAGCAGACACAGCACGATATAAAAACCTTCTTTCGGATCCGGACTTCATCCAGGGAGTGCGAGGTCCGCACTATAACCGCTCCCTCCCACACGCTCGCCCGTCCAACCCTCACCCTCCAGTCCGTCACCACCCCCGTACCTGGTTGTTGTCGCGCGGCGGCTGCGGCGGCGGCAGGTCACCCATAGTGTCGAAGCCCATGTCGGGCGGCACAGAGCCCGGTCCGCCCACGTCCATCGGGTCGAGGGGACCGTAGTTGCTGGCCGGCCCGGCCGAGCCCAGCTCCAGGCCCTCCATAGACGCCACCGGCACCGGGTCGTAGCCTGGGGAAGGAGGGGTGCGTCAGTGGGAGTTCGCGCGGGGGTGGCAGTGGTCATTGGTATATTATCACTGTCCCATGATCCCTGATCCATCTACAACACTCACACCGACACAGTTCGATAGAGTTCCTAGCCTACCCCTCCCTGAAACTTACGCGCCATTTGTTGAATTCGTAAGCCTACCCCGAACCGTTAAGTCCCAAAAGGGGCCCGCCCCTAATCATAATCACCCTGTCCGTAGGGCTCCTAACTCCCCCTCTCACGACGAAGCCTGTCCACTGAATCCCCTAACTAGCCTGTCTCTCACTCCTTACCCTGTCCGTAGGGTCCGTAATGCCCTAATTCACTCCTTACCCTGTCCGTAGGGCCCGTGTCCGGAGCGGATGCTCGGTGTCCCCGGTCCGTACAGGCCGTCGTAGCCCTGGTCCTGGGCCAGCATCTCCTGCAGGTCGGGCGGCATGCTCATGTCGCCGCCGTTCCACATGCCGCCCTCGTCGCGGCTCAGGGAGTTGGTCAGCTCCATGGACAGGCGCTTCTTGTAGTCGTGCGGCTTGTCCTCAGACATGCGGAACAGCACCGCAGCAGCGTACGTCGCTGGAGGGAGATGGGAGACTCGGTTAGGGCATACGGCAACAGAGAACGAAACGACCGACACATCGGGACAGGGGTGTTAGGTTAGAGAGCCCAGCGGAGACTGAAGAGCTACCATTGTGGGGTTATCAGCAAGATCAGCAACAGCCGCCAAAACACTGAAACGGTTTGCACACCAACTAACCAGTATATTACTTCAAAAAACAGGGATGAAACCGACGCCCCACGGAAACCTTAACCCGCGCCCCAGTGGCGGTCTCGGCCAACTTCGCCCTAGTGAGGGGGGGCATATGTTACCACCCACCTTTAACTCAAAAACTAAGAGGGCTAGAAAGACGCGGTAAAAAGTAGTCGATAGCTCTCAATGCGTACGTTTGAAAGTATTTCGGTCATTTTTCACCTTAGAGCAATATTGGGGTCACCAGAGGTCATCAAAGGTCAAAATTTGCCAATTGTCATGATATTTTTCAGAAAACATGCCGCTATCTCAGGAACTATGGTAGCTAGGAAAACGCATGGAACAGCAATCGGTAGCTTTTGAACTCTTCTTTTGAAAAAGTCATTATCAATATTGACCTCAGGTCAACGGTTTAGCCTCCAGAGGGCAAAAACTCCAAAAATAGCCGTTTTTACGAAGTGTTTTTCGACAATAACTTTCGACTACAAAAAGCCACGACATTTCTATTGCCAGAATCGTGTTTCCCTCGCCGAGACGCGTCGAATGAACTATAATTTGACCTTGAAAGGTCAACTTGAAAATTTGACCTCAGGTCAAGGTCATGACCTGACCGGAAAAGGTCATGTTGCATATCAGTCGATGCGTCTCAACAAGACAAACACAATGAAACCATCCCCAGCGTTCTACCTCTTTCCAATCGCGAGTTATTGGCAAAAAAACTGTAGCCTCAAATGACCTCGGATGACCTTTCTAGAGGCTATCAGCAAAAATGACCCCTTGGTCGTCACGAGTGGACTAAATCATTGTGATTCTGAAATATTTGGACTGTTCCTATGCGTACACACGGATCTAGAGGCATTTTCATTTTTCTCCATTGACTTGTAATGGAAATGTCACGCCACTGACCTGACCTTAGGTCACGGATATAAAAAATCCGAGATATACAAATTGTAGGCGCCCATAACAGCATGCAATCCACCAAGTTTAAAACCTTTCTGACAAACATTGCAGGCTGGACATGATTGCAAACTTTTTTAGGCTTGGTCAGTTAACTTGACCTGGTGACCTGACCTGACATGACCTGGGGTCAAAAATTTCACACATTGTCCAAAATTGATGTACCAAAAGCTACCCCAAGCGGCGCGGCGCGGTTTTTTATTCACACGCAAAAAACGCGACAAGGTGGTAACATATGCCCCCCCCCCCACTGGGGCGAAGGTTAATCAAGGCTTAAACTCAACCGCCCCCTACATCAATCGCTCTCCCCCTATGCCACCTTGCGTGCGTTAGCCTCCCAGCACCTGCGATCTCTCCCTTGACCCTTTCTCCGCGATACGTACCGACTCCCTCGTTACGCGAGTGCAGCAGATCGGTCAGCGGCGGCGTGGCGCCCTCGCGTTCGATCATCTCGGCCCCCTCCTTGTCGGCGGCCAGCTCACACAGCACGCCGGCGGCCACGCGCTGGATGTTGTCGAACTCGTTGAACAGCAGCTGTGGGGAGGTAGAGGTCAGGTCAGGTCAGGTCAATGGATCTTGCGCAGGCCATCAAACTGCGACCGTTGGACGAAAGGACGGTACGATACGATACGACGTCAGGTCAGGCATTTTGTTGATGAGTTCCGCCAAGAGTGACACAGAAGGCCGCGATGGACAATTACAATGCCGAATTCTGCCATTTTTACGCGCCAATAGTCAGAAACATATGCCAACCTAAATGCCTAGCCGCATCTAGCTACTGCAGCCTCGGCCACCACCACACCCAGCCCTCCTCCTTCCCTCAACACTCGCTCTCACCTGGACAAAGATGGGGATGACCGACTGAGCGCGCAGCTCGGCGCGGTTGTTGGCCTCGCGCGCCAGGATGTGCAGCGCGCCCACCGTGCCCTCCACGATCTCCTCCATGCGCACGCCGTCGACAAACGCGCCGGTCGAGTTGCTGCCGCCGGTGGCGACCGACGTGCGGCGCTGCGAGTCCTCGAAGGCGCGCACCAGTAGCTGCACCAGCCGGCCGATGGTGCCCTGGTCCCGCAGAGGGCCGTGGTTGGCCGGGCTCAGTGCCAGGTTACGCACCAGTCCTGTGAGGAGGAGGAGGGAGGGCGGTCAGAGTAGAGTAAGGTGGTTCAGGACAGGGTATGGCGCATCTGAATATACCAACCACCCATATTCATTCGCAGCCCTAGTCTCCTCTCACACAAGTACATCCTTCATCACATCAGATTATCATTTTTTCCTTTTCCCTTCCCTCGCTCCCTCCCTCCGAGCTACTCTTGCTCTGCTGTCGTGCTATTCTGCTCTGCTCTGTCCTACTCTACTCCGATCTGATCTTCTATGTTCTACTCTGTTCTGCTATCAGTTCCTACCCCTCCCAGTCTCAGGCCTCCCCCTGACATACCGACGACGGCCTTGACGAGCGGCCAGCGGCTGGGCGGGTGCAGCAGTTTGCAGATGACCGGTAGACCGTTATTGAGCCGCACGGCGTTCTGGGCCATGTCGGCCTCCGGATGACGCGAGGTCAGGTGGCGCAGGGCGCACACGGCCGGCTCCGTGATCTCCTCACGGTCACGGGCGTTGAAGATGGTGTTGATGAGGGCGTCAATGCAGCCGACCTGGCAGGCAACCACCTGGAGACGGAGGATCGGGTTCAGTTGGGGAAGAGAAGACTACGGGGAAATCTAATAGCAGTATCGTGGGCCACCTTTAGGTTTTACACTACCATGATAGTACGTTGAACACAAATCTTGTTACAGAGAATTATACAAAAAAAACTGAAAATTCAAATCTTAAATCATCAGTAATGTACCCCAAAACAAACATAAGCTAGCCCGTATTTTACAGACACGCCGAACAGGCCGCGCGGCCACGGACCTTGTTCCTCTGGTTGTTGCAGGTGAGGTTGCTCAGGATGCCGGCAGCGCAGGTCACCACGTTCACATCAGCAGCGCCGAGCAGGGCCACCAGAGAGTTGATCATGCCCTCCGAGACCATCCTGTGGACGAGACACAGAGGACAAGTCAGTGCCAGAACAGGGAGTTCGTGGCCTGAACTCGATGGTGATTTATCCAGATTAAAGACAAATTAAAGATATCTTGCCACCTAGTTCAATACTCCACAGCAAAGCCGTACGAGACGCTCGGGGCTATAAGTGAGTCATGATATGTTGAGCAAAATGCGTGGTATTAGTGACAGCTTCTGAATATCTATTTAAGTCAGCTCCGGATACGCTGCATCTCGACATGCTGCCTTTCTCTAAATGTATCTAAATCGAGCTTTCCCTTTCAGGCACAGTTTAATCTCCAGTTTAACTGAATTATATATTTACCTTCATATAAGGTGAATTAGCTGTGCCTAGCCAGCAAAAGATCCCCATTTCCAATTTCCGTTGAGGACAAAACATCCTATACTAGTGCCGCCTTGCACTAGATCAATGCAGCAAGGCACAGTAACGAAGGCAGAACCGAAAGATGGCCGGCTAGCAGGATCTGAGGCCGATTCACAGTGACAAATAAAGTGGCTCAAAGGGACAGCGACGCCTGGTCTCCCAGCTCCGGGAGACGCTCAGTGGCTATAAGTGAGCCGGAAATTTAGTGCGACAGGCGCCGCCAATCAAACCGGCGCGCCGTACAGGCTTGAGTCGACTGGCGACGACACTTATTGGATTCTTCGCGTCAAAAACGATGGCGCCCGCCAACTAACGACGATTAATGTGCACTGACGAAGCCTCGCTGCCCTTCAGCAGATGTTTCAGCTTCTTCTCAAACAACGCCAGCTCTCCATCGACAGAAGAAGCTCCTTCCGTCCCCGGAACTCATTCCTAGTTCGGTGTGAACCCCACCGCTACCCCTCCCTTCTCTGCTAGTCTTCCTCTAACCTGACCACTAAGGGACCGATCACCTCTCCGTGTATTTCCACTACTCCCTATCCCCGCTCACCACGAGCGATTCTCTCCTCTTCTTGCCATCCTTCCGTCTCTCAGTCCCCTACCATCCCTCTTTCCTCTCCCTGCTATCCCTCCACTCTCTTGTCCCTCCTTCTCCTCTCCTCTTCCTGGCCGCTGCTGTGCCACTGAAGTACCGATCCCTCCCCTCTACTCACCACTTTGGTGGCGGCGTCGGAGAGGTTCCTCAGTGTCCAGAGACAGTTCTGCACCAGCCGCTGCGACTGGTGTCCCAGGTGCATGGCCAGCGCCTGCACACCACCGGCGTCCACCACGGCCGGCTTGTTGGACGAGCACACCGACAGCACCTGGTGGGAGGAGTCAGAGGTCACGGTCAGTGGGTCACAGGTTACAGGCAGCACCTTGTGGTGGATCAGGATCACAGATCACAGGTCACAGAGGGCCACTCACAGGTCACAGGTTACAGAGGAATCACAGGTTATATTGACAACACCCTGATAAATAACGCTACAGGTCACGATGGGATTTGCAGGTCATAGAAGAAGACCCGATGATATTTCGTCTCATCCCCCCCCCCCCCCATCTCCCATCCGCCCGTATCTTCCTACCGCCCACCTTCAGGACGCGGGAGGTGGTCCAGAGCAGCTTCTCGTACGTGTAGCTCCTCATGATCCGCACCAGCTCCACGGGACCCTGCGACGCCAGGATGATGAGCTTGCTCTCCTGGTTGCCGTAGGCCAGGATCTGCAGGCAGTCGGTGACGATGGCCAGGAACTTGACGTTGTTGCGCTGCAGCAGGGCGACCATCTTCTGGAGTCCACCGGCCAGCCGGACGGCCGTCTTGGAGCCCTCCTGGTGCAGCAGCAGGTTGTGCAGCGTCGTGATGGCGTAAAACAGCACAGACTCGACCGGCGAGCTGCGGACGGACGGGGCGGGTTGACGGTTTAGTACAGCGTGTCCGTGGTCTGGGGAGACTAGGGGGCGACGGTGAACGGTGAAACAATATACCGAAACAGACAAGACTATGTAAATACGGGGCACATGGTAGGATTCAAACGTGAGATAACAATCGAGTCTGAACGACACGTGAAGCACTCGTCCCAGCTACGTATCCATACGACCAAGGGCCATACATTGGACCCACCTGAGCAGCTTGACGAGAGCCGGGATGCCGCCCGACTTGAAGATGGACAGCAGTCCCTGGCGGTGGTGCGAGAGGTTGTGCAGCGCGCCCACGGCCACGCGCGTCGTCTCCAGGTCGTTACTGTTGGACAGGGTGCGCACCAGGGCGGCCACCATCTGGGAGCGGCCGGGGGCGCTCGGTTAGAGAAGTACAGAGGAGTGTACACAGCCAGCCGTCGAGAACTCATCAGGGGTTAGTAGCCAGGGAGGGGGTGATGGTTTCATCCAAACGTCTTGTCATCAGAACTCCCCACAACCCACACATACGCAGACTGTTATACATTCTGACCAGCCAGTCTCCATAGAATTCCAGCGGCAGTGAGGACGATCAATACATCACCAGGGTTACCCATAGTTGTGTGAATTTATGGAGACATTGACGCAAAAACGCCAAACTATTCTAGGAATCATCGTACACATAATAATGTTGAATTTTGCCAGAAGCTTGTGTGCGATTAAATTATGCCAGAACTGAAGCCTCATTACATTCTACATAGCTCACGTTCCGGACTGGTAACATACCAAGTCCTACAGCCAGTTATCAAACAAATTACCATCCATTTTTAACAGCTTGAAGGGGCGCTTCCTCAACATACACGATCAAACAGCAGTTTTATACGCCTGCACACGGCACAGCCGCGGCGTTCGCCGGCCGGGGTTCCCCAACCGGCACTAATAATTTCTGCGGACTCCGGACCATTGCTCATACAGATCGGATCCCAGCAGGCAGCAGCAGACAGCCGTCAGACACACAGCCGGTCGCAGCTGCTCAGCGCTGACATCCAACGGACCATGTGCGGCGATTTCATGCCCAGTGCAACATATAAAAAGGAAACATTAACGGTGTACAGATTATAGGAAGCTTGGCACAGTCATGAGACATGCGAACATCGGATGCTTAATTATAGTTACTGTGTGGGATTGGCACCCAAGTGGGCGCCCAGAAAGCCGAAACAATAGCATTACTTAATATGTGTAGCGTCAAATTATTTCAGTGCATGAGCTACGCTTTTGTTCCAGTATCAACAGCTCGAGCTTCAGCATTGCCCGAATTCAGAGCGAACACAGTATAATTAAATAAAATCGTCATGCCACATTTTCCAGTAATCCTGAGTGAGACATAAAGGTCACTGAGAGCAGTTGTGCCGACGGTAACAAAAGAAACTGCTCCAGCTCAGAGTTCAATTACGCAGCATTCAGCAGCATGCCAAAATAATATTCTCTGGCAGCCGACATACAATGCCTCCATTACAAAATGTGCCCTCTAGGCATTCAGCTGGGGACCTTTACAGTAACTGCTGACATAAATAACATGCATAAGCCGGCGACTGAGCGTCATAACAATTAAATATGAAACAATACCTGATTGAAGCCCTGGAATATAGTTTCGTTGGTTAGAATGCGGACAGGCGAGAATGACGTAGAAAACGGGAATGTTAGAAGAGGAAGTCAATGTTAAGTAGGTCCATGCCTAGAAACTTGTGAGAATAACTGATTTTGCATGGTCATAACGTCGCATATAATTAATAGCATAACTACAACCCCAATCACAAAACGTCAAACGATATCGACAAAGACGGGGTAAGACACTTCACTTAGTCTTATCACAGACATAAGCTATCCAACTTCTAATAATGTGTGAATTCACCCATAAAACTCGCTTACACAAAATTCGAGCCATTGTTCAAGCTATCCGCCTTCCACCTTCCTTGAGTTCGCATTCCGCTACGTTTATCGCAGAGACACGGCTCCCACCTCCCATCCCCTTCCGTCTTACATACAACACAGCCATCCAGTCCGTGGATGACGTCATTCCCCAAATGACATCACTCCGCAGTGACGTTACGTCACCTCATCACTAACCTGTGGCGAGTTCATGATGGCGTGTCGGCTGGCCTCCTTCTTGCTCAGCTGGTGCACCATCATGGCCGCCTGACTGACCACTACCTGGTCCTCGTCGTTGAGCAGTTTGATCAGCTCCGGGATGGCGCGCGTGGCCAGGTCGGCGTCATCCTGGGCGAGCAGGGTCACCGGGTCAGTACTCAGTGGGGTCACAGAGTAAACGGCTCCAAAACTGCACGACGTTTGCTCTCAAGAACACCGAAATACATAGAGAAGATATGCACCCTAGGCGACGTAACTATTGTGCAGGATTAAAAATAAATATGTCTACGAGCGCTTTTGTATAATTTCATATAAGCTTCTCGATATTGCATGTGGAAGAAAGCTACGTAGCGAAGAAAACGAGCCTACGGGAAATAATTCAGTAACTCTGCTCCGGCCTTTGATGGTTGCCGCTAACCGCCAACACCGTGCAAGTTTATCGGTTGTCAACAGACGAGTGCATGAGATCAAAGCGCCGATTAGCGTTAAGGAAGCTTTTCAGATGCCGGTTGCTCGGTATACATGACACTTATGATTGCGATTGGAATCCTTTGAGACTTCATTCTGGATACGGGTTCCTATTCCGAGGAGAAGCCTAGCGTCCTTGCTGGTCATAGATAGAGACCGCCCGCATTCGACCGCGTTATCAGAGCACCGTCACGCACGGTGACACGTTCTCCTAACAGCGCGCTATGAATCACCCCTCAATCACCCTCCTCCGCCCCACCCTCCGGCCGTTTGTCCGAGTCGAGCTGGCCGGTGTCAGTCACCAGGCCTGCAACGTTGCCAAAAACTCAGCACGGAAAGTGGACGTCCGAGCGAATTCCAACCGGCCGGCCGGCCGGCCCGACGGACGGACGGACGGCTAATCCTGCCTCGGCGCGTCCTTGGCTCCACTTCTGAGGGAGTCGCCGACGCTCGTGCGTCAGTCGCCGGGTGCGCGGTGCAGGAAATTCCGGTACGAACCGGTGCTGTGTCACGGAGTGGCCGTGGCTGTGATAGGGTTAGTGAAGCGGTGTCATGGATAGCCGCTGCTAACTGGGCACGAATTGCAGTGTACGGCAGTGGAAGTGTATGTGGGTACTTGGGGGATTTTTCGATATTTCGATATTCGATATTTGATTTGTTCGGCTCACTACTTTGCAAAAGGTTGATAAACTTGGCAACTACTTTGATGGGATTAGTCTGCTCAACATAACTACTTATATCTAAATAACACTCACTAAAAATATGAGTGAAATAGTACGAAATGTCAGCATCACCGTCCTGATATTCTGCAAACTTTACAAACATCTTTTGCTCGCAGCCCTTTCTTTTCAATGAGCAAGCCTACTCGAGGTTGTCGGAAATCATTTTCATCCCAAAGGAATTTAAGTTCGCAAGAAAAGCAACTTTACGATTGCTCCACAAACTAAGTCAGAGTCGGCATCATTAGTGAACAATGTAGGAGCGACGAAAACAACGTCCGATAATGATCTCAAATGGAAATCCTGAGAACTAATTAAACGAGGATAATCCAATCGCGAGGACACGATTACCAGTCCCAGCCGCGGGATACGATGACTGAGGATTCCAACGTCTAGTGATTAGTGGCCTAGCTGATTGATAAAGCATCGTACCCACGTCCCATTCGGCATCTCCTGCCTGGGAACATATTCTTCAGCCAGACAGCCTCTACCACGTACGGACAGTAGCATTATGTTCGTATTCGCCGCATTGCGTGCCGCTGAATGCCGTCTTTTCTAAGACGTCTTTTATCTAAACACCTCAGAGCTGATGTCAGCCACCTTCCCGGCAATAACAAGTGCGCCCGTTCCCGTCTCAGCACCTGGTAGTTGATGAGGTTGACCACGGCGTGGCGCAGCATTTGGCTGGGCTCGGCCAGCCGCTGCACGGCCGTCGGCTGGCCGCGCTCCATCTGCGTGCTGGGGATCTCCAGACCCTCGTCCAGCGTCTCCGGGAACATCGCGGCGCGCACCCGCTGAGAGCGCGTCTGGCTCAGAGTCTGGTTCATGTCTGCGGACGATAGATGCCAAGGGATAAAGAAGATACATTAGTCAATATATATTGCCTGTTGTTGGTGGAACCTTTAGACAAAGTGATAATAATGTGAATGTCCTCATGAAATCCCCTTCTGAACAAAGCCTCATCAATCCTCTTCGCCTTCCTTTAATCTCTCCCCGCCCCACACTCGTGTCCAAACGTCAAAACTAGTGCGTCGAACTTCAAAGCTCTCCTACCTCCATCCCTCCCTGCCCACCCTTCCTCGAACAGCCCCACGTCGTTCACGCGTGCAAGTCCGACTTCAAAGCCCTCCCACCCCTACCCCTCCCCGTCCGCGAGCCCGCACTCACCATCGACCTGGCCCTGACTGTATCCGGCGTAGTTTGGGTCGAACATCATGTCGGCAGTCTCCATGTCGTCCTCTTTGCCGGTCAGCGACGGCGCCTGGGTGGTGGCGCCGGAGTTGATGCCGGAGTCGCCGCCGCCCAGGTAGTTGGCCTGCTGCCACATCTTGACGTGCTCATTGCCGCTGGTGTCGGGTGCCGCCGGGTACCCAGACGACTGGCGCCCTGGGGAAGGGGTTAAACAGTGGTGGTGAGGAGCATGCTCTGGACTTCAGCGAGGAACTTGGCTCGTGGGTTGTGTTCATGATGTCATGGATAATCTTGAGGGACTAGGGAGGGACACAAAGGATGCACCTACATCCAGTAGTCATCACCTCAGAGTTCTGTTGGCAGCAAAGATGTTGCCAAAGGCCTCCTGATGCCTCAAAGGTCAGATCCTAGTCAGCTGTGAATTACACTACTTGATAGCATATACATCAACATCACAATATTTAATATGTTCTACACAATGAAAGGGCATAAAAAACCGTTTATTTAAAACCAAAATGTAGTGCAGAATGTTGTATAATAGGAAAAGAATGCACAACTAAAGAATGGTGTATATGTGTGAAAGAAAATGTGTCTACTGCTCCAGTAGAACCTGAATCGTACCTGGCCGGGCCTGCTGCTGCATGTAGCTCATGGTGCCCGCACTATGATGGTGTTGGGAGTCTCAGGTTCCTGTTAACAGATGCAAAACAGTCACATCAAAAGTTCAGTTGTCGTTTACCCTGGTCAAAGCTCGGTTCATTTTCCACTATTTCATTCACTTTTCTTCATATCAAATACAAGCAATTATGAGAAGCCAGGCTATACATGTTTGCGGTCCTCACTTCTGAAAGGATATAGGTACCTACCTACTGCAGGTATTTGAGAAAAAATCAGCACATTTAGCTCCAACTCCAAGGTTTTCTTATTTCTGATACCAGTGGATCATGAAAAAATGGCAAATGATCTGAAATCCCTTACTCATAAGTCATAAAATTATCTAGTAAGAAAAGATGATTTTTGCACAATTTTATAGTCTTTCAACTCCTGGCCTTTAGTTTACCAAATATTTGATCTATCTCTAGCAGTGAGGCACCCATGCCACTGTTTTACATGACTGGCACTGCGGTAAAGCCCAACTACACTGCATTTTATACTTCATATCCATAGTGAATTCTGAACAGCTGACTGCTGAACAGCCTCACATCAACAATATGTGTCTAAATTGTTATAATTTGCACCTTGTACATAGAAAAGCGTGCTAACAAAATATCAAATGCTGAAAAAGGACATTAAAACTTTTCATTATGACCACTATAAAATCAATAACAGATCATATGGCCTCCTTGCCTACAATAGTTTGGTAGTAAAAAAATAGCCTAACCTAGCCTAACCTACAACCCATAACCTACGTCCTACAACCTACAAACCTACAACCTATATCTCCAGGCATAGCACCTCTCCTTGGTTACAAAAATGAAAGTGTAACACCTGTTTTATGACTAGATACCAAAAGTCTTAGGTCACTGAAAAAACATTTGGTATTTTAAACTCTTACCTAATTCAAAAAGAATGAAAATTATTAATATCTGTCTGAACTTTATTCAATTTCTGGTCATGTTCTAGTGAGGTAGATAAGATTACTTGCGGCCCAATAACACAGCACCTGCCGCCTGCCACCTACCAACTCTCTAACATCAACACAGGCATTATTTTTAGGTGTATTTATCAGTAAATGTCAGACTTAGTTGCTGTTCACCATTCACTAAACGAGATTGTATTGCAACTGAACAGGGGCTCCGCCACAGGGGGGTACGCGGGGGTCCGGACCCCCTCAATAATTTACCTGGGGGGTACAGTACCCCCCAATATTTCGAATACCTTTAAGCTTTTTTTGCGTAAGAAGGACTAAATCATTCACAGAATGTGTTGAATCATTTAGAATGTGTTGACGGTCGCAAAGCTGAGATATTTAAGATCTAGAAATGTAAGGAACTAGGGAACCCTTAACATGTTGTGATAGACGAAGTGCTCAACACTCGCCGACCTATATGAAGGTACGGGAGTGTCATCATTCTACCATTTTGTTATTACTATAAATGCGTTTAAGATTGATAGGATTAGCGATGCATGCTAGAATTCGGCTATAATTTCGTGAGAGGGGTCCAGCTTGCAGGACACCTCCTAGACACAATATCCGCCCCAAAAGAGCTTCAAATCGAACTGAGAATCCTCTTTCCGTGTGAGGTCACCCGATAGTGTTGGGGTCGGGGGGTCCAAGCCGGTCTTTCGAGCCCGATACTAGTCTAAGCAGCCTCTCACTGTTCTGAGGTAATCTGCAATAATCTGTACAGGGCTCTGAATGCAGGTTGGTAGAGATAGGATAGGACATCTACATATTCTACAAGTCACAACTCTTGCAGGATCCCCATAACCTGACCTTTGATTCAAGTGCAGCATTTTGATATTCATTTTCAGGTCAAGCTAGGTCACACTCTGATCACAGAGACTGAATGTCAGTCTCTAAGGATCCCTTACTGCTACATATATGAGGGCAGGGCCTTCAAATCCCTACGACTCCTTAAGCCCTGCACTTTCCTTTCTACGGTCTTGGAGGACCCGACACTGGATTAAGAGCCTACCTACATAGATGTCTGAGCGCCAAGGTCCCTGAATTCCCAAGCCCATACCAGTCACTGAGGGCCTAATGCGCTGTCTGATGGCTAACACCGCCCTTGGAGCGCGCAACAGCGGCCTCCATTCCTCAAGAACGTTGATTTGAGAGGCCGCTTTGTTGGTGTCAATGGGCTCCACTTCTCGGTTTTTGATTCCTCGTGCAAATTGAACCTTGGTTTTAACTGAAGAAACTGTTGAGTCAGAACTGCATCAGCATGTCAGCCCAACAGGTAACAGATCAAGTTGGTTCCTGTTAACATTATAGTTTGAGCCTTCAAGAACAAAGTTTTCAGTTCCCTAAAGGAAATGGTTCACTAAACTTTTAACATGGGGTTTTGAACTGGAATAGCAATTTTGTAGCTTGGGCTGAGACCAGCACAAATCAGAAGCTTTTACAGCCCAACAATCACCCTAGACGAAGATATTCCATTGCTCGTTATGATAAGAGTGCCTTAGCCCTTGCAGAGGAATCAGAATGCATGTCTTGCTGAAGAATGCAGCCACGTAGTCGTCAGCCAATCATCATGCTGCTTACAGCCAATGGGTTTGTAGTTGTAGTTGTACTATGCAATATGATTGGTCAATGCGTAATTTAAACAATACTTTACATAGAATACAGACACAGTTCTTCCTATATCAAAATATAGAGAATATTTTTTTAAGTTTTAATATTCTTAGCTGATCATTTGAGCATAAAAAAAAAAATCATAAATCTATTGCTAAAAACGAATTTCGGGAAAATGAACTATTCCCTTTAACGTAAAATCAACAGGTTTCAAGAAAATAAAACCAAGTGTCCTTGACTAGCTTAAAATTCACGATAAAATTAGCAGCTCAAAGCAAACATGAATAGCTTAAGTTAAACTTGATTTCAATTCAGATTTCTTACTGGAAGAGGCGTCACAGTCAGGCGAGGATTTGGATTGGGATTTTCGTGAGAACCGATCATCCCTCTCCAAACAAAGGAATACGAATAATATGACAATACGTATAAGAGCATAATATACCAAGTATAACATACCTTCTTATTCAAACCCAGCGGCCGGCACACCCTGTCCACCTTTGTCTAATCGAATGCAGAAGTTCACCGTTTGTCGAATAAGGAAAATGGCGTCGTTATCTTTAGACTTTTTATGACGCATCTGAGTCAAAAGCCTGCGCACACATTTAAAAACATGGCTAGTAAATAAAAGTTTTTCCTCGGCCCATTTCAAAATCATTTTTACAAATAATACAATTAGAAGCAACTCATACTTTAAAAAAATATCGGCTCAAAATGTATAACCATAATGCAAGAAACATTTATAAATGCTATTTGGCGTGCGGACAAGCTTGGAAAGAGCAAAAGGCGAGTCGGCGCAGCCGTGCTGCAACCAGTAGCGGCGCCGGCGGAGCACGGCGGGGCACTGCCGACTTTTGGTCCCATTCTTTCCATGCAACGTCCATAGCCCATAGGGCTAATGTTAAAATGCCAAAACCAAAGGGGGGCACGGTGCCCCGGTGCCCTTCCCGTTCCGCCGCCAATGGCCGCGCAACGCAATACCGGAGGCGGAACTACGTTTATTCCTAGCTGTATCCTTTCGGTTTTCCTAAATCTTTCCTATTACAATGCACAGCGTGTTTGAGTCGAGGATCAGGATTCAGGATGGCACCAGTGTCTCAAAGAAGGAATCGATGACAAATGAATCATGAACCGAATGTCATGCAGTACTGACCAGGGCTGCGGAGTCAATGGATTTTAAAGTGACTCCGACACCGACTCCGACTTCAAAAATCGATTCCGACTCCGACTCCAACTCCGACTCCGACTCCGGACGATTTTATTACAATCCATATTAGGTGTGGTATTGAAGTTCATAATGGAGTTTTTTTCTTGCCTGAAACAATCCCTTGTGCGTTCCAAGGCTTTGCGTGACAAATATGTATTACAAAATAACATGCATTATTAAAAAGCAGGTTCTGGGGTATTCAACGTCTTCCACTTCTTTCGCTGAAAACGTTCGTCCAAAGAATGGCCTTTATTCGACAAAATCTAATTTCGAGTGCAGTATCGTAAATCAAACAGGTGCAGTATATGACGATCCATGCGGCATTAAGTCCCACTCCGGAGTCGGAGTCGGTAAGATAATGGCGACTCCGACTCCGACTCCGACTCCGGGCAGAACTGTCGACTCCGACCGACTCCAACTCCGACTTCGACTCTGACTCGCAGCCCTGGCACTGACCGAGCACTCAGCACAGCTATAGCCTATAGGTATACTTGCTTGGTGCTCAGTTAGGTAGGGGAGAGTGGGGCACATTCGTGCAAAAAATGGATAAACCCATATATCTGTTCTTTGGTTAGTGCAATGGCAAAATTGTTGATTGTAGTATGGAAAGGAACTATTGCAGATAGTTTTCCTCTTTAAAAGTTATCCTATAAAATTATTGCTTCCATTAGAAAAAATGACTTTTATTAACTCTGAACATTTGCACGAAACTGCCCCACCTATGGGGCACATTCGTTCAAGAGATGGGGCACTTCCGTTCACCCGGCAAAATTCGAGAAATTACCGGGCATTACCAGAAATTTACCAAAGGAAATTGGCAGGGGGTCATTTCACTTGATTCCTTTCGACAAGAATGCATTGCACAACAAATGTAGAAAGAATGGGCTGGCCAACAAGAATGTGCCAACTGCCGGCCTCCGTGACCTCGCCAAGTTCGCGTGAATTGCTCGTCACGACGTCGCAAGCAGTCGAGACTGAGTCAGGCGAGCGTCATTAGAGAAACCTACTACAGATAAAGTCATAAATCGTAAAAACTAAAAAAAAAAATATGCACGAATGTGCCCCCAGGCAGTGCGTACACGAACCTGCCCCACAACGTTATTAGTAATACCTATATTTCAAAATTTCTTTTTGAAAAAATGACACTTTTTCAACAAACAAGTTTGCAGCAGTTCCGTGAATAGAGTGGGCTTCTTCACCCCCAATTTTGAAAAGCTGAACCACATTTCCGAGTCAGGATCACGAAAATGGATGATATGAGAAAAGTTTGGAAAGCTCACGAATATTACAAATTTGCGTTTTTATCAAGCATGACAGCAGGTACAGTGTTGTCTTATACGGTGAACGAAGGGCGGCAACGATAGACATATTTCCATAATTTACCTTGAGCTCGTGCAGTCACTCGTGTTCCCATAAACTGCTGAAAACGAATGTGCCCCATGCACGAATGTGCCCCACTCTCCCCTACTATAGGAGGTAAGTAGAATAATCCTGGCATGACTGGTTTTGACCTAACATTGACCCTCGTCAAAACTAGCATTTTGCCATCCACTAACGTACAGGGTTTCCAGCTATAAGGCCAATGACCCAAATGTCGGGGTCATAAAAGTCATAAAACTCGAAAAATCACCCGAGGTCAGCAAAGGTAAAAATGACCTTGAACTGGCCTCCAAGTGTCCAAGTGACCTTTAGCTACACCCAATAATGCATGGGGTAAATATCATTTCACCTGTTAGCACGTTTCTAATCACAAAAAATCTAAAAACGCACGGATAATGTGCGCCGGCCGCCGACATACGCCGAAACGCCATTGTGGCGCAACATTGTTTCAAGAAACAGGTCGCAAGTCAAAGGTCATCAAGGTTGGAGTCAATTTTTTTAGGTAGGGGAAGTTGGGGGAACGCCGAATACTTTTTTTCTGACGCCCGTAGCACGCAAGGTAGACAACATAAGCTATTCTTGTTGGCGTCATTCGAGAGGCCAGTCTTTTGTCTTTCAAACATACCAGGCGCATTTGATGAATTCGCATACCGTTAAAGGGACCCTCCCACCTTAACATTAGATTTGAGTTGAGATAGCCAAAATGGGGTCCCTGGCTCACAATTACCGGTTTCGGCACTCACAACATCGAGAAATGCCTTAAATCGGAAATATTGAATTTCAAAATTGCAGCATTTTGATTCAGAGGGGCTAATGCTTAGGAATACCCCTCTGAATGTGTGACGTCAGCGCAAATATCTAACGATTTTTAAATGTTTGACTAAAACGTTTTGTAGCACGCGGTGGTATATGCTATTTGCGCGCAACATCTGCCGCAAACGCCGCACTTCTAAAATAAAGTCGCTAGAAACAGCGGAGATCCCAAAAAAGTAAACAAAAGTAAAAGTCTAATATCTTGAAAACCGGTGAATATTTTTCGGTGAAATTTGGTATATATTCGTTTTCGCTCTTTCTGAACCGAGCAACATCACTTTCATGTCAATTCATAAACTTTTTTGAAGGTGGGAGGGTCCCTTTAAGCGCAAAAACTAAAAATATCAAAGAACTGACTTTTTCGGCGTTGCCCCGGACTGCGGGGAAAGCCGAAAATGGGTTAAATGATCTACGAGGAATGCCGACATTGATGTTTTGCCAATTTATCTCAAACTTTATCCAAAATTCATCAAAGCTGACACGCATTTTAAGACCTTGAGGACGCTTGGTGCACACTGGAAGTTATAATTGTGTGATATAATAAGAAAATGCCAGGTAAATCATTCCTTATAGGTAACAGGCCGTTGTGCCGGCTGAAAGTGTAATTTGTTTGACCAAAAATACGCGTTGCTATTCTACAGCAGTAAAGTCCACGTAGCGTGCTTTAACCCGGCAGTTGCTGGGGTATTTCGCCACCCACCGTTTGCTGGGGGGGGGGGGGGGGCGTTAAACGCCCCAGCCGATAACTCGAGAACCAATAGGCGCAGCGAAACGCACGGGGCGGCAAACGAAAGAACGCGACGAGACGCTTCAGATGAGTACTTTAAAGTTGAATTTTGAGGTCACAGGTCGGGTCAAGGTCAGGTCAAACACCTGAAATCGGGCTTTCAGTACCATGGACTTCGGGACTTCGCAATGGGCTCCTATCGTCATAAACTCTGTCAAGACGGTGCACAATCCATCATATAAGGCCTACAAGAGTGTCAGCTCCATGTAGGGGTCAGTCATGCATAGGTCAGGGTCAAGGTCAGGTCAACCGGGTAGGCAAATATCCCCGAAAATCAAAACTGATATTCGCAGCCTGTGACACATGTTTTATGGGTAATTTGGGGCGTAGAACACGATGATGACATTCATTTTATCATATGTGTACGTGTTTGGCTCAAAAAGTTCAATTTAAGAAATGCATGTATCATGGTCGTGAAGTAGTCACGAGAAATTGCCAAGATTCAGTTCAAGATTTTGGAATATACGGTACGATAATCAATAATCGAAGATAACCATTTGATTGTTCATGGTATTGGCAGTCTAATGGCGTTTACGGCATGTCTGTATGTCTATTCTGTGATTTTATACGATTTTTTGAACATATGCCGTTTTTGGTCGAAAACTCAAAAATCATGACGTCACTATAACCTCGATATCTCAAAAATTTTCCGACCGATTTTTTTGAAACTTTGTTACAATACACTTCAATCAATTCCCTACAGGTACCCAAAATTTGGCGCGCCTGCGGCGCGCCGTTTTTATGCTATGGCGCGACGAAAAAAGTGGGGGCGTTTAACGCCCCCCCCCCCAGCAACTCGCGGGTTAACGTGCGTAATTGCACGTTTTCGGCATTACCCCAGCCAGCCATGCTTTCATTTGCAGGCCCATAACTTTTAAACGTGCTGTATAGATTTCAAATAGGCAGCACACTTATGCAAAGACATGCTGAAGATTACTTGACCGAATTGGCCGGACAAACGGTAGCATAATGAGTAAGAAATGCAGCTTCAAAGGCGCATGTAGTACAAGGGAAACGTACCTTGAAAACGCTTTTGGCGCCCTCACAGCCGAAGTATTCCAAATGACGACTCGTAACAAACATGCGATAATTGTAGTCACTTAACCCTATTCCTGGCGGGCTCCGCCGGGACAAGAAACTGGTGGGGGGGGGGGGCCGATTCGGCCCCCCCTGAGATCTCGAGAACGAAGCAAGATAGCGACAAACGGTAAACGGCATCGGATACGCACGGTCAAGATCTACAATTTTTACTAAGTTCATTTTCAGGTCAGGTCAAAGATGACGTCACAGGGGTCGAAAAAGTCAAAATGGCGGCGCTAGATATGGAGAGAGTTTTTCTCGAATAACTTTCGAATTAGTCAAGATAGGAACAAACTAAGGGCATCATCGT